TTCTGCACATGTTGTTATTACGATTAAAGATTAAATATGAACTATTTTCTTATTGAATTTTCAGAGAAAAAAGTAGATGAATGGTGAAAAAACATATTTTAAAAGCTTACAAATACCAAAAAAAAAATGACCAGAATTTTGCATACAAGAAAAATTATAGCACGAGTTTTTCTATTAGAGATTTCGAGATTTTGGTTTAATAAAAGTTCTAATTAACAACGAAGAGTACTCATTTTGTATAACCTTTGACAAAGGACATTTCAAAACTATATTAACAATGGAAAAAAGTAAATATCAAAAAATATTTTAATTTGAACATTCCGAAATGAAACGTATTTTAATCTCGCTTTAGCTTAGTTTTATTTTTGTTAATGGATTACTAATGACATCTTTTATAATATTTTTCTATTGGTTTGCTATGAATAACCCATATAAATTACTAACAAACAACAAACATTATAACCTTTTTCTAAACAGTACACAATATGAAAGAAACATGTATAGTTTCGAAATATTTATTTATTTTTTTCTTATAGATTATTATTAATAACCTATTATTACATTCAAAAATGCTTAAAGGTTTAACATGGCAAACTCTTCGAGCAAATTATTCATTAATACCACTGTTTTCCGTTGTTACACTTGGTGTAGTAATGGCAGCTGGACATTCATTTCGTAGTTTATATTGGTCACCTGATGTTAAAGTAAATCGTGGTAATCCCGATCGACCATGGGAAACACAAGTTAATCATGATGGTACATTTAAACATGCAAAATATGTTAAACTTCATGATTATCGTAAATTAAAGAAAAGTGAATATGAACCAGAACTCGATGATTAAACAAATGCTGACATTATTTCTTTTCTTTTTGTTTTTCCAACGTCCATCCTAAAGACTAATGATCTATTGTAATAAACAAAAGTAGTTTATGTCCACACTCTTTCATTTTTTTTTGTCATCCTGTAGTCCTGGTTTCTTAATATAAACACACCAAAAAGAAAGAAAAAAAAACAAAATAACTGCGATTGCTTTTTTTTTTTCATTAATATCCTTTTAATTTTAGATGGCTTATCAAAATCGACCACCTGAACAACCTCCATTAGAATTTCCTTATATTGGTAGATGAAAATTATATATATATATATAACTTTATACTAAAAAATAAATTATAAATTTTAGGTGATGTAAGTCAATATGAACGTATTGATAAAATTGGTCAAGGAACATTTGGGTAAGAAATATTTTATTGTAAAAATTGATATAAGAAAAAAAAACAAAAAGTAACAATAAAAAAATTTGTTTTTTAGAGAAGTATTTAAAGCACGTTGTAAAAAGACAAATGATTTTGTTGCTATGAAATTAATTCTAATGGATCAAGAAAAAGAAGGTTTTCCAATAACAGCATTACGTGAAATAAAAATTTTACAAGAACTTCGACATGATAATATTGTTCGTCTTATTGAAGTTTGTCGATCAGCAAGTATGTTTAAAATGAAAAAGAAAAACCAAAAAGAATTTTATATTTAATCATAACTAATCGAAATACATCGTTGATTATTTGCAAAAAAATTAATCGAACAATAATATTCTTTTATATAGGTCTTTGAGAATATTAAGTACAGTTAATTAATAACATCAATCAATTATATGCTAGCGTTTTTCTTATATATATCTTGAACTATTTATAATGATAGGGATGTGCAGTTCCAGTATACTGACCACCGACAAAGTCACAATGACGTTTGCCGGTGCAGTGAGTACACTGACGGCACCGAAACTGGTGCTCACTGCAATGTAAAAAATTCCAGTTAGATCGAGGTCGAGAAGTACGGGCGGGTTCCGACAGGAAAACACCGGAACAGGGTGGCAGTATTCCGGCCGGAATACTGCCATCCTGTTTCGGCGACTTCCAGTGTTTTCCTGCAGGATACAGCTAATTTTTCCGCATATTTCCTGCAGGATCCGGTGACCGGAATCTTCGACCTGGGGAGCAAGAGTTGATTATTCTACCCTTTTTTTTACAGTGTAGTCCAGTGAACACCAATGCTCTGTAATCAGTGTAGTCATTGGTTCAGTGTACATCAATGCTGCTGTAGTCAGTGCACTCAGTGTGAGGACATCACTGTCAGTATTTCAGTGTTTTGCACTGAAACTGCACATCCCTATGTTCATACATCCCAAGAACTGTTTGAGAAGTGATTTAAATACTTGACACTATCGAAATTGTTTGTAATCGAAGTTCAGACTCACATTATGTTTAATCATAATGATGTCGAAAGTAAACATTATTTTCAATTTTTTTGCTCCAGTGCCGTAAATGCTAGAAAGAATCTAAATTTACAGAAAATTATTTACAATAGAAATATAAGAAAAGAAAGGAATCTTCGAAAATTCTGTTTTATTTTTAAATACTTTCAATTAAATTGTTGTATCTTGGAGACATCTCATTTGATATAACTTCAAGGATATTATATTAAGAGACGCTCTATATATTGAGAAACTAGGGTTTGGATTTTTTTTTGAATTTTTTTCTTTGAAAATTTGATAATAGTTTAATACTTATGGCAGTGAAAAACAAAAACAAATTATTGATAATAAACTTTGTTGAATATTTTCTTTTGACAAAGAAGAGTTTATTTATTAATATATTTTTCTTTATTGTAGTGGATAAATCATCTCGTAGTAAATTTTATTTTATATTTGAATTTTGTGATCATGATCTAGCGGGTATATTACGAAATCCTAATGTTAAATTTAGTCTTGGTCATATTAAATCAATAATGCAGCAATTATTAGATGGTAAGTTTAATAATAATAATAATAAAAGAATATATTTTTATGTTACAATATTTCTAGGTTTATATTTTATTCATAAAAATCATATTATTCATCGGTAAGTTTAAAGATAAATGAAAATATTTTCATATTTATTTAATTAATTTTAGTGATATTAAATCAGCAAATATTTTAATAACACGTAATGGTGTACTTAAACTTGCTGATTTTGGTCTAGCAAAAGTAATAACACCACCAAAACGTAAGTTAAATAATTTAAATAATTTTTTTTTTTTGTAAAATTCTTTTCTTTTTCAATAGCTAATCATCAAAATCGATATACATGTCGAGTTGTTACTCTATGGTAAATATTCAATTGATAAACTGTTTCTTTTTTTTAATTGTTTATTTTTATAGGTATCGTCCACCAGAGTTATTATTAGGTAAAAGATAATAATAAAAAAAAATCTAAAGTTTTAAAAATAATTTCTTATTTTCATAGGTGAACGTGATTATGGTCCAGCTATTGATATGTGGGGTAAGTTTTATTTGATTTAAATTATAGATTATATTATTTATTTAATATTCTACATAGGAGTTGGATGTATTTTTGCAGAAATGTGGATTCGTTCTCCTATAATGCAAGGTAAATTAAAAGAAAAATAAATTTTCGTTTAAAGTCGAAATATGATGTATGTCTAATTTTTACTAGAGTTTACAAAAAAGAAGCTTCAGTTAAAAAAATATATATTATAGTCCGTGCGTGTGACTGTTTGTTGAATATCTCAAGAACGCCAGCAGCTAGAGATCTGCGGGTTTTCATTAGTCGAAGGAGGTGATATGAGGACGTCTTTTTCTCCGATATTGTATAAGACGAAGTTATTATTTATAATCAACCCTTTTTACAAAACATCGAAAAAATGTACGAAAATATTTTGTCATTGAGATGAAATTTTTAATAAAAAAATTCAAGAGAAATTCGTATTTTTCAAGGAAGCGAATAGAGGATTGTATTTGCTTAATATTAGAAAGTGTGAAGATAATCATTTAAATTATATCTTAAGTTATAGATCTGAAGTTTCTGTATCCAAATCACATATTAAAACAAAAATCTCATCGAAATAATAGACCGTTATCACACATATTTTCCAATGTTTTGAGGAAATGATTGATTTTAAAATGAATTCGTCTTGTACAATATCGCGAGAAAAAGACGTCCACATGCCACCTCCTTCGACTGGTGAAAATCGCATGTCTCTAGCTGTTTACGTTTTTGAGCTATTCAACAAACAGTCCCACGCACGGACTCTTTGGACAAACTATAGTTAGAGTTCTTTAAATCGAATGAAATCAAAATTTTCAGATAGACTATGTCCTTACGAAAAGAGAGAGATGATTTATTTTTATCAAAGAAATATATAAAGATTTGAATCCAAAACAGAGACCTTGAGTTTCACATCTGAAGAATACTTCCAAGTATCTGTAGTGGAAATTTCAACCCATTCGGACACATACAGCGGTCGTTAAAACAAATTGTATAGAAAGTTAGAGTAGTTTTTCGAAAAATTGTGAAAATTTTGTTTAAATTTTTTTTTCTAATCTACTATTCTATATTAAAAAATATAATTCATTTTGTTTTTTTGTTATTCTGTTAGGCACTACTGAACAACATCAACTTGAATTAATATCTCATTTATGTGGTAGTATAGAACCAAATGTTTGGCCTGGTGTAAATAAATTACCATTATATACAAAATTAAAATTACCACAAAATGAACGTCGTAAAGTACATGATCGAATGAAACCATATATACAAGAACCATTAGCACTTGATTTAATTGATAAATTATTAACATTAGATCCAAAACAACGTATTGATGCAGATAATGCTGTTAGTTCAGATTTTTTTTATTCTGAACCACCATTAGCTGATTTAAAACCACTTCTATCAAAATATCCATCTATGTTTGAACTTAAAGAAGTTTCACGTAATGCATATAATCCACAAATACAACAACAACAACAGCAACAACAACGTATTAAACAAGCAAGACCAAATGTACCTAATTTACCATCAGAACCAATTTATTAAAAGAGAAAAAAAAAATATATATATATATTTCTTTTGTTTATTGTTATACACGATGAATAAATAAATAAAAATATCCATATATTGTACAGATTTATATAAAAATATGATCTTTCTTTTATTGATTTTTTAAGATGTCAAATAGAACTATTGATCCAGGTGTATCAATTAAAACTTATGATATTCTTAATTTTGTATGTAAAATTATTAATTATATTTGAATAGAAAAGTTTTATTTTCAATCATATATCAATACTATGAGATAGAAGATGATGATAAAACTTAAATATATTTTTTCATAATTTTCTTAACTTCGAGAAGTATTGAAAATGAAACATGATGTAAAAGAAATGTTTATATATTTGAATAAAAATTTCAGATAATTCTAGAATATTTTATACAAAATGAAATTTATATTTAGGATGTTCGAAAAGTAAAATCTCGATCGTCAAATATAGTCAGTGCATTAACTACTAGTCAAGTAAATATATAATAATATAAAATTTGATCTATTTTTATTGATTCATTTCTAGTCGATTCCACAAACAGTTATAAATGATGATTTTGTTAAAAAAAGTGAAGTACCACCATATGATATTCATCAACGTGAAGCTAAACGACAACGACAAGTAATTTAATTTCTACAAAAGAAAAAAAAACAAATTCTTTATTACTTAATTTTGTTTTTTAGATCGAACGAAGTAAAACTAAAGGTAACAATTGGTATCATATGCCAGCACCAGAAATGACTGAAGAAAAGAAAAATGATTTAATTGCTATTCAAATGCGTAGTGGTTTATATGCTGATAAATTTTTTAAAAAAGGAAGTGATATAAAAGGTCTTCCAAAATATTTTCAAGTAAATTTTATAAAAAAAAACAAGAATTATTGAATTCTTCTATTCATTTATATTAGACTGGTACTGTTGTTGATAATCCAGCTGATTTCTATCGACGTATACCGAAGAAAAATCGAAAGAAAACAATTCTTGAAGAACTTTATAATGATAGTAAAGTTAAAAAGTATGTTGTTTTGTTTTTTTTTTCGAATTTTCAATCTTTTTTTTTTCTTTTATTTTAGATTTAGTAGAAAACGTTACGTTGAAATTAAAGAAACAAATCGTCGACGTATTGCTGCTATGAAACATATGAAACGTTTAAAAAATAAAAAAAAATGAGCATTTTGTTTATTGAAAAAAAAAAAAAAATAGATAAAGGGAACAAAAATAACAAGACGTGAATCTTCATTATCAATTGTTTAATTATCGAAGAAACGTAAAAAATCATATAAATTTATTTTTCCTTGTTCATTCGTTGTACATTCAGCAATCATCTAAATATATAAAAACAAGAACAATAGAAAGTTCAAATTCGTTTATTCTAGTGACGTAACTAAGATTTTGCTTCGAAGTCTAAAAAGAAAAACGCGCTTATTTTACGCAATTGAAAATTAGGCTTTTTTTTGTTTTTGAATTCTCGTTTCTTGAAGTTACGCCACTAGTTAAAATGTGTCTTACCGCATCGATAAGATCATCATCAAGTGGTAAATTAATTTGTCGAAATATATCAAAAATATTTTCTCGTGAAATATAACCATTACGATCTTTATCATAACGTAAAAACATTTGTCGTATTTCTTCATGATTTGTTATACGCATATGTTTTAATTTATTACGAATTTCAGCATATAAACGTATAAAATCACCTGGTTTACGTTTTATATGTATATTTGTACTAAGTCGAGCATCAGGTCGACCTAATTCATTACTTAAATGTTTTCGTAAGGATTCAATAACAATTGATGAAAATTGTTCAGGATGTTCTTCAGCATATTTTAATACATATAAATCAGCTGAACAAATAATAAAACGTTGATGAAATACTTCAATTGTTGCACCAATATAAAAATCAGATGGACCATAAAATTGTGGATGTTCAGGTGATGAGTCTTTAAAAAAGAAAATAATATTTATTGAATATTCTATAATGATTATATTTACTTGGTTTTGATACACGTGTTCGTTCAAGAAATCGTCCACCAATGATACCTGTATTGCGTTGAGGTGGTTCATGAATACTAATTGTATCATCACCAAGACGATAACTGATAATGAATTTACGTAATTTATCGTCTTCACGAGGACTATCCTAAACAATAAAAACAAAAAAAAATATTTTTTGTATCGAATATGAAAAATAGAAAATAATAGATTGGTTTTTCGTACTAAAACAGCTTCATAACGAAGTATACGATGATCATTTTCCATCAATTTTACATAATCTTTTTTCGGTCGTTCAGGTTGAAGACGTAAGCAATTTTGTAATGAATCTTCTAATGAACCAAATCCATTATATGGTGGAATTTCCTAATAAATCATATATATATATAAAAGTTTTCTTTTACGAAAAAAAAAAATTAGATTATATTTTACCATTTTAGCAAATTCAATACGTGGTGCTTGAGTATTAATTGATTCAAAATTACTAGTACCAAAATTTTTTGTATAAAATGTTTTTGTAAATAAATCACAATCATAAATAAGAAAATTTCGACCATAAATATTAATTGTTTTTCCAATCATTAAATCCGATGGTTTATAATAATCATTTATTTCAGTATCAGTTAATTCAAGAAAGACATGAGGAAACGTACCTGAAAAATAATTCATTTTGATTATATTATTTTTCAATCGAAAACAATATTCTTCTCATAGAATCTAACTCGAAACTGAATGCTGGAATGATAAAGATAATTTAACTTTCATAACATCTATACAAACCTTTAATATCATAACGATCTTTTGGAATTTTATGGCGAGTTATAAGTATAGGAAATGGATCTCGACCATTATTAGATTTATGTACTTCTCGTATTTCCATTGTATCATTAACTAAATAATAATGAATAAGAAATTCTCTTTGTTCTCCAAACATTTGTGAACGATCATCCCAAATAGCATAAAAACGTAATACTTTTCTATCCATTTCAACATATTGTTTAAGTTTATCAAAATCATTTTTTGTTTTATATGTTTTAATTTCAGCTGCTTGTTGTCGTTTCATTAAATATGAATCACGTGGAATTAATTCTGATTGATTTACATGTATACCTTCACTTTCAAGCCATTCCTAAATCAATATTACAAAATGAAACAAATTTTTTTTTTGTTTTTATTATCAAGAATTTATTTTGTTTTTTTATCTTACACGAGTAAATGCATCACAATCACAAATACGAAATACTTTTCCATAAACAGCTAAATTTTGACCAAGATTAAGATCACGAAAATTATATGTTTCACCTTGATCATTTTTTGGAAATCGATGACGACGTATTAATTTACCTTGTGGTATACCACTATTTTCTTGTATTTCTTCAAGTATTTCTAAACTATCATCTTCAAGATAATATAAAATTTTCACTGATCGTACACGATAATATTCATTTGGACTTTCTGGTATTGTTTGTTTAAAATATCCAAAAAAACGAAGTACTTTTTTATCAAATGCTAATGTAGCTGGAACAAATTTATCAGGTGTTTGAACAACAGTTTTACCATATAATAATTCAGGGCGATAATTTCGAAGAAGTTCTAATTCATCTTCACTAATTTGATTATAATTAATACGTGTACCACCTAAAAAAATAATAGACAAATATTATGATGTATGAAGAGTAAAAGAAATCGATTACCTAATCCAACTTCAGGCCATTTTGTTACTCGATGACCATTTTTAAAATCGAGTGTATGACTAACATGAAAGTTAGTTTGCTAAATATATAAATATTTGTATAATAATCAAATAGAAGAAAAGTTAATAATTATTAATCATACATACTGTTGGATCACGGAATGAGTTTCCGGGTAAACGTGGTAAACCTTCCATGTATTATTGTTTTGCTTACACTCGCCAATGAGTCGTTAAGAACTATTAAACAACAATTCATTGTTGCTATTTACTGTATTCACTTTTTCATGATAATTTTTTTTGCATCTTTGTTGCTTAGAAACATCCATATAGATTTCATTATAGTTCAGATTATATTTTCAAAATCTTATGTAAACATTCTCTGTTCGTGTTTGTTTTCTTATATCAAAAAAAAAAGAACTTCAATGATATAAAAAACTGATTTTAATAGATGTCGTAAATAAATGAATTATTTAGCATTTTTCAAGCGAAAAAATTCTATTATTTTGAAAAAGTACATGAATACAATTTCCCTATTTGACTGATTTTGCTAGTGCATGAACCATTCATGTGTATCTTTCCATTGCTAATCGAAAGATATTAGCTAGAAACATTCATTTTGTTGTAGAGATTTTCTCAATTTGAAAGTCTTGAATAAACTATTCTTCATTGCTGTCATGGCCCAACGGATTTATTGTTCCCTTCAGCATCAAATCGGCTGACAATTAGTTTTTTATTTGAATGATAAACACTATTATGTAGTATAAAGATGGCATTTGTTCGTCACTGAAAAACTGCAAGTTTTGTTTTCACTTTAATTTTCTACGCCATTTTATCTGTCTGAAAAAAGTTGATTTGTTTGTTGCCATATGTCTAAAAGATATTTTTAGAAACAATATTTCAAATGTTTTAAATAACAAAAACGTCGATGCTATCACAATGTGTATGCCAATGTAAAAAAAAAGAAGATTCATTCACAAAATATCGAACATAATTATTATTTTTCGTTGAAAAATAACGTACAATAGAATTCTTTTTTTCAAGATTTATTGATTGAACAGTTATGATGACAAAATAAAAATTTAATTTTTTTTGCTATAATTAGTTCGTTATAGTTATATTCATAGTTTTCAATGACAACTGATTTTCAAAATTGTTTTATTATAATATTATGAGATCGATTATCTTATCTTTCTTATCACTTGATATACTTTTGCATCGTCATACCATATATAACAACATGCTACAATATATTTCATTTGTTATATTTATTCATTGATAAGTCATGTTACTTCGACAATGTGTTGGTTTACACAATTCTAATAACGATGATCAACAAGGTAATATATCAAATTGTAATATTTATCATCTTCTTCAACGATTAGGAATAAAAAAATCAAATATATCAAAATTTGAATTATTACCAAATGAATTACTATTCATTATATTTCAATATTTATATTGTGATGATATTATCTATGCATTTAATAATCTTAATTATCGTTTACAATTATTATTATATTCATATGAATATTATCATTTAAATTTTGATCAAATAATAATGAAATCAAAATATAATCTTATTCAAAATTTACCACTTAATATTCAACATGTTAGATCTTTAACATTATCGAATAATGTTAATTCATGTATAAATATTGAAGAATGTCTATTAAAATATCCTATAGAATTATTTTATACTAGACTTCAATCATTATCAATTTTTCCGAAGGATGCTGATCAATTACTATCTCTTACTTTATTATTACCAAATTTTCAACAATTAAAATATTTATTAATATCTAAAAAGACTGATATGTCTCGTGATGATACAATAGGACAAATTCGCAATATAATATTATTTGAAATAAAAACATTAAAATATTTTACATGGAATTGTCCTACTTTGTTTTTTTTAACAGGAAAATATAAAACATTACCAATACAAAAATCAACTATCGAACATTATGAAATTGAAACACTGTTTACTGATGATTTAGATTGGCTCAATTTGCATACAATAAATATGAAATCAATTCATATCTATATGATTTTATTTTCTGAGTTTTCACCTGAACAACAACAACAAAAACAAACATTTCAAACATTAAGTTCTCTAAAAATACACAGTTTATCTGCAGATAAGAGTCAAAATTTACTTAAAGATTTATCACTTTTAACTCAATTGAAACAGTTAGAATTAAGATGTGATCATGATCTCATTTGTGATCAAAGTTATTATATCGATGGTTATAAATGGGAAAATTTTATTCGAAAATATATACCACAATTAGAAATTTTTAAATTTTTCTTCGCTTCAGAGCACTCAATAGAAATGATTATAAATATTAATGAATTAATTAAATCATTTATGACAGATTTTTGGTTAATTGAAAAAAAATGGTTTATTACTTGTGATTATTATAAGAATCTAACTAGATTAAAAGTATATACAGTACCATATATGGGAAAAGAATATACAGATGATATATTTCTAAAATCATCTCAACGAATATCAACATCAAAAATAAATGATATGTCAAATATTCGTCAATTACGTTTACGTGAGATTACACTACCAGATATAATATCAAATGATCATTTTACTAATCTTCAATCATTGGAAATATGGCATATATCCGATGAAATAACTTATAATCAATTAAATAGATTTTTAAATATATCATCAATTAAAAATATAGTATTTCCATTTCGAATTAATTCAAAATTATTCTATGATATTTTAAAATATAATACAACACAAATATCAATAGAAATCTATTATGATGATTTAATAGAAATATTAAGAAGAGCAACATCTCATAATCGTCATCAAATAATAATTGAATTAAAAAAGATTAAACAACTAAACCTTAAATATAGATTTAAATATAGACAATCACAAGGATTAACAGTAAAACAAGTTAAAAAAATCTGTTATTTATTTTCAAATATCGAACAATTATTTATTACTGATTTATTTGAATCAAATGAATCAATACCATTACTTATTCGTAAATTAAAACATTTATCTTTTTTATGTATATCTTTTCATAAAGATGCATCTATAAGACAAATAGACATTTCAAATATTCGACAATGGTTAATAGATCAGTCAAGAACAAAATTAAATGAAAATAATTTTATTTGTAAATGGTCTGAAATCGTATTTCATAGAACTTTTTATTTAGTACTTCACTTTGATTGATTCATGTGTTAATCAATTTAACAAAAAAAAAATATTTTTTTCGCCTATTATAAATTCAGTTATGGTGATTTACTATTGCATCAATAAAATTTTGTATACTAAATTATTCATCTATACAGAATTTATTATCAGAAAAAGAAAAAAAAGTTGAATTGTGAGATAAAAATAAACTCATTCTTGCAGTGTTGATCAATATATCTAATTGATTAGTATAATCGTTATAGAATTTGTTTGTTTTTATCTGTAGATTTAAACAATAGAACGGGCGCGAATGTGATCAGATATGTGCACGTATTGCATAGAATTTAACGATGAATTATAATAAACCGTATGAATTGTTGATGTAAAAGGGTTAACTTTAGTTATGCTCTTTATTATGGTATCTGTTCTGAAAATTTTGCTTTTTTTTTGTATTTGATCCGTCATTATATAAAATAAGATATAGTTTTGTTTTTGACATAAATAACAAGTATACAGCTGTAAGTGACTTCGTATCAATGTAGATGAGCGACATCTATCAATGAGAATAGATATATATATCATAAAATTTAAAATCATATGATTTTTATAATTAGTTTTTAAAGAAATATAATTTTAATTATTTCTAATCGTATTCATTGTGTTTTTTTTCGTATATCAACATTCGTATATTCCAATAATTACCCAATAGAAATGAAATATTGAGTGAATATTATGAATCATAACTAATTTCAAAATTTCTCGTTTTTTTACATCATATAATATAATCATAATTTGTCTAAAATTTCTTTTTTTTTGATTTATTATTTTAGTTACAACATTGATTAAAAACAAAAATCATGCAAGTATTTATTCGTAGTGATGCTGAACTTCTTCAGCTCGAACTTGAAAAAGATGATACTATACAAGATATTCGTGTAAGTTATTTTTTATAATTATTACAAATTAAATTTATTTTCTTTTTCTTTAGGAATATATTGCTGAAGAATATGATATTGATATGAATGAACTTATATTAAGTTATAATGGTATACTATTGAACAATGAACAAACTATTGAACAATGTAGTTTTGCATCTGGTTCAACACTTGATGCTACTATGAAATTATTTGGTGGTAAAGTTCATGGTTCATTAGCTCGTGCTGGTAAAGTTAAAGGTCAAACACCAAAGGTAATATATAATATAAAATCATGAATTAAAAAAAGAAAATGAAAATCTTATTCTATTTAGGTAGCTAAACAAGAAAAACGTAAGAAGAAAACTGGACGTGCTAAACGTCGTCTTCAATATAAACAACGATTTGTTAACAAAGTTGCTACTATGGGTCGTCGTCGTGGACCAAATTCAAATCAACAAGCTGCATCATAATGATTTAAAAAATGAAAAAATAACTTCTTATTTATTTGACTATTGTATTTCCATCATAAGAAGATTGGCAATATCAGTTTTTGTTTTGTTTTTTTGTTTTTAAATAAAACATTATTATTAACATAAAAATTTTAAATTAATTATTTTTATTTATTCAATTTCATACTTTCTGTAGACTAATAAAATAAATATGAATCAAAAGAAAACAATATCAACATTAATTGTACTTGGTTCTGGTAAGTAAACATATATATATATATATATTGAAATATTTATGAATAAAATGTCATTATGATCATTAGGTGGTCATACAACAGAAATGTTTCGTCTATTATCAGGTACTGATTTGAATGTATATAAACCAAGATATTATACTATTGCATCTACGGATACAATGAGTGCCAAGAAAATGAATGAATTCGAAAAGAATGTGAGCATTTATTTGACTTTTGTTTTGTTTTAATCAATGTGCGACAAAAAGTTTTGTTAACTATTTGAAATCACTAGTTTATTTTATTTTGACATATAGAGTTTTTTTTTTCGCTAGCGTTTTCATTTTTTTTGTAAAAGATAAAAGTTATGTTTTTTTTAAGACATTAGATGATATGAATGTATCATTTATTAATCGAAGTCGTCATGTTGGTCAAAGTTATATTAGTTCGATTTTTACTACACTTTGGGCATTTTTTACTGTTATTCCATTAGTTTATCGTATTAAACCTAAACTTGTAAGTTAATTATAAATTTTTAGTCATATATTATTATTTTTGGATTTAAATTAGATTCTTATCAATGGTCCAGGTACATGTATTCCAATTGTTATTGCTAGTCTATTGTTATCAGTAAATAATTTTTTATTTATTTATTTATTTTTTATTTTCAAATTAATAATCAAAATATTTATTTTGATTTAATTTTATAGATTTTCTTTCTTATTGATCGACCTAAAATTGTTTTTGTTGAAAGCATATGTCGTGTACAATCATTATCATTAACGGGTAAAATTCTTCAATATTTACATGTATATATTCTTGTTCAATGGCCACAATTAACTAAACTTTATCCAAAAACTCAATATATTGGAAGACTTGTTTAATGATCTTTGTTTTTTTTCTCTCGTTCCCTAAAATTTATTAATATTTATTTATATTTAAAATAATATAGTTATTTTCAATACAATGAAGATAGCATATCTTGAATCTTAATGATAATTGTGATTTCATAATAGATTCATCAATAATTCCAAGAACTTAGGAGAATAAAATGTAATTTTAAAATAAAGATAATGTTCATAGAAAAATATGCATGATTGAATAATTCTTTTGTAATAATAAAGAGATATTACAGAATTTTCTACAAAATTTAATTGATAAACTATTTGAAATATTAAGTTAAAGTAGAACATATATGTAGGTTTTTATTTACTTTTTTTTATTGATTCGAATTTCTTAGAAATCGAAGATACAATATTTCACAAGAAAATTTGCTCGATGCCAAATTATTTATCTGCATTCCTAGGTCAAGTCGTTTATCGTGTATGATATGTTTTCAGAGGTTTCATTGTATTCATATTATTTTAAAGTAGTTATTGATGAAAAAAAAAATTCTAGAAAATCTTCAATATTTAAAAAGTTAAATTAGTTTTAATGTTTGATGATTGTTCTTGGCGAAGTATTTTTTTTTTATAGATTGAATAAATAAATATATGAAAATGATTTTATTTTTTGTTCAAAATCTAGATGATTCGATTGACCGATTTAAACTATTGTAACATATATTGATAACATTGAAGAAAAATAAAAGTCAATTTAACCACTTGTCAAAGATCATTATGATCTATTTTTAAAAGATTTATTTTGATATAATGAATGAGTATTGTTTTTTTTATTTAAAACTAGATTAATCCTTTCTCGATCTTTTAAAGAGTATTATTTCACATCATTGGGAGGATGAATAACTGAAAAAAAAAATTACATATTATAATAAAAATATGAGATAGAGAAAGAGAGTGATAATAGATCTAATTCATAAATCATTGTATTCATAGATGTAACTTTTCATTTTGTGTTGTTTAAATTTGAATTCAAAGGTGTTCTTCATTTTTACTCACATTCCATCTCTTCAAGAATAGATTGTTCTTCTGAAAATAGCTTTTATCGATATTTTTGAATTTTGGGACCACATCGATGCTTGAATTTATCGATCTTAGGTCGTTTAGGCAATGTATTGAAACGTCCTGATCGAGCTGATTTTGCTTCGTTTTTCTTTTGTTCTTGTTTAAGTTGATATATGTATAAGTCTTTGTCATCAGAATTCCCAATTATTAATAGTACATGTGCACGTAAAACAGGTAATAATTCATACAAATTAGATTCACTTATTGGTGAATAAAGAGATAGCCATAAATGCTGCTTCGGTGGTTGGCAGAGTAACATTTCTGTGTAACTTACCATAAGTTGACGATAATCTGCTAATAATGTTTCTATATGGCGATTCATAAATTCCGATAAGTGATATATAGAAGTGTATTGATCACGTATTATCTCTTCGTTAAATTTCTCATCACAATCAGCATTAATATTTTCTTCTATTGCCACATAAATACCTTGCCAAGCAAAGGCATTATCAAAGTGCTCAGGAAGTGGTTGGTGATCATCGTACAAATACGTCAAAGACCTAGTTTTAATACTTTGAAGAGATTCTTGAGCATTATGCAGTTTAATTTGTTGCTTGTAAGAAAAAAGTGAAAACCAAAATTTTTTCACCAACATCAACGTATGATGACACAATCGTAAACCGAAAATATTAGGATTTAAGAGAATAGTCATGATAAGAGAATAGATGCTGTGTAATGTGTTAGAATCATCTAAATTGTATTCATTGCGGAAAAGAGCAATAATGAATTGAACAGCTATATCACGTACTTCCAACAAGTTCTTCGCCCGAAAATATTCAATACGTGTTTTTTCATTAGTAATATTATTAGAATTCGATCGAACTAGATGTTTGTCTTTTAAAAGAGGAATAGGTAAAGGATCTATACATAGATAATCATATAACTGAAGCAAGCCTAATACATTCGCTTCTTGTGGCAATTCAATGAATAAAGCCGATGGATGTTCTGTAATGATTGATTGAAAGATAGTCATAAACCATTTATGACGAATTCGTGAACTCAACACATATTCACCAATTTCATTTTTACCAGACACGAAATCATCTGCATGAGTAACGAGAGCGACCAAATAAGGAAAATGATCGAGTTGTTGTTGAGTAAGTTGAATAGTTGCCTTAGAATTACCAAAACGAAATGTGTACATTATTTCTTGAGTTGTCGCACCAATATCAGATGTTTTATTCATTTGTCGTTATTATCAGTTTCAAGAAATGGTTAATATTATAACGTCAGTTGACGAAGTTTATATCACATATAAATGGAAGAAAAACAAATGTTGGTTTTTTTTCCGTTCTTGAAACGTTGAATCATACTCTTACACAAAAATAATGAAATGATTCATTGCTATATTTCGTCACATGATATTTCCTCAAAAGATTTACATCAATTATTCAACCTATCCTATCGATGCAAAAAATATTTCCATTCAAGAAATGTACCGAAGAAAATAAAAGAATTCCTTCAATTTTGATAAATGGTACAATTCATTTCGAAAGGTTTTCAAATAATTTTTGTTTTTCTTTACATAAAAAAACATTCTAATTTGTTACCGTCCTGAGGTGATACGGAAAAGTCTATATATAGCGTCTGGATATGGGATGATATATCTGTATACATGAGGAGTTCATGAATGATTGATGAATTTAGAAGAATCATCATGGATTCGATGAATAATCAAGTCCTTGCTCAGAATCATTTTCCAATCTGATAAAAAAAATAATTGATGCTAGTGTTGCTCTTTGCAGTTGGAATGGAAAAGTTATGTTTGTGAAAGATTTCGTGTAATAAAATATGTCAAAGTCTTACCTATTGAAATATTCTTATCATGATCCAATCAACTCTTTTCAATTACTCCTATTTAAGTCTGATATCGATGTTTGATTAAAATATTTGATTAGAACCAGCCATAAGTTGTTATATATCTGCGACTGATGTTGTTTTTTTTCTTATTGAGTACATTCAATAGGATTCAACAGCAAAATATGTTGAGACAATAAAAGTTATTTTAATTATATAACTGCTGATACTTCTCTTATTACTATAATTATTGATTAAAGGTTCTCTTCGCATATGTAATATTTATTGAAAACAAAGATCTTGTTAGAAGTGAATATGAATTTCATTTTATTTGTTTTTCAAAGTAAAAAAAAAACAAAGAATAGCGATAAAAATTTTATAAAATTAACTATTAAACAAAAAGAGAAAGATTATTTTGTTTTTTTTTTAACATATAACAATGTCATATTAAAAATAATAATTACATCCAAAGACGACATTTTAATATTTGAATATCAATTTGACTATTTGGAAAACGATTTTGAATCATTAAACGATATGATTTAACCTTTTCACGAGCAATTTTACCAAAAATCTTCCAATAGACAAGTTGTTTTAATTGTTCAACGAATTGACAAAGATTATGTTCAGCTAAACAAAAAAAAGCAGTTTATCTTTCGAGACAAGTAAATTTCACTTACGTAGTATTTGATTTCAATGTTCTTAAATATCTTTGCTACTGTCGAATCGAAAGACTCATATCTTGTTAGTCTAAAATTCGATCGAACTTAAAATAAAAAAATACTAAAGTTAAATTTATCAAGTTACTACATTTTTCTTTTTATTTGATTTAGAAAGTATTAAATAATGAGAAGTATTTCAATTCGTCTTTATTTAAAAATCCTTCACAAGAACCTGTAATTGTATTGTTTACATATTTTTAAATGACTGAACAAATAATAATAGTTGTTTAACTAATATTTCAATTATTTTATAATGAAATAGTCAATGTATATTTAACACGAGATTTTTACTCCATCAAATAGAGTGTGGGTGTGTCTATTACTCTTCTTAACATTCACACGCACAATCAAGAAACTCATTTGCAATTATTCGCCTATCTAATTCTAGTGAATTATTAATTTCATTTTTAAACAATTTAGAATAATGAAAATATGAATAAAACCATCTATTTCTAATATTTTAATAATGATAAAAACCGTCATATTTTATTCGCTATTTTGAGTAATCATACGATGTATTAACATGAGCATTAATTTCATTGGGTTGTTAATATTATTTCTTAACTTAAAACAACAATAAAACAGTATTAATTCACCATATTGTAAGAGATCATTGATGAACTAGTGATATAATCGATTTGAACGATGATCGTGTTTAGCTATTTTAGATAATTATCAAGTAAAGAAAGACAATCATCAATACTATACAAATAATTACATAATACAGTAAGAATCGAAGAGATATGAGTAGTGCTTGGTAGACAAAACATTGACAAAGGTGAATATTTCTTATTCCCAGATGATGAAACAATTGTCAAATGCTTTAGATTTTAGAAGAGAGCCAAGATAGATGAATATACATTTCTAGTATAAGTCCACAATGATGTTTCGCTAGTATATTCATCATTATTATGAAAAATAAGATCTGTTATTTGATGTTTAAAAATTTGTCGAAAGATTGAGTCATCTATGCTTTGGTATTATGATTATTCTTGATCATATTAAGTATTTGAATTCTATATCATTCGTCGATAGCATCTTTTGTCGACAGCTATTTGGTCGACAGTACAGTTCGTCGATGAATTTTTGTCGAAAGCTCTTTTGTCGACATATTGCGTCGACCATCAATTTAATCTATTGTGTGTTCATTGATATTATGAACTTCTATTTGTTAACAAAAAAAGCCTGCTTATGATTAAATTTTACTTTGACTAATTAGTTGAAAGTGTTCCCATTTGAAACAGAATAAATGTGGAAACCTCGGATTTAAATCCGAGATTTATGTGTACTTCAAAAAGTGAATGATACAGATGAGCTATTCTAGAATGTGTGGGCGTAAAAATGATCCTAGCAAATATTTTCTCGAGACACTTGATTTGTATACGGCTACTGTTAAATTAATAGAATTTGGAGACGAATAAAGCTTAGATTTTAACTCTTCGCCTTGATTTATCCCAAGAATGTCGTTTTTCCTATAACTTTATTTCTATTGGTCTATGCTCAACCAATTGGGTTTCCAGGCAAGTGGAGTACAGATTCGAGTTCCCCGTGCCAGAAAACCTCGAAGTATTACGACTATGATCGGCAGATAGAGCGCTAATACGGGATCAATTAGAGCGTGCAAGAGAACAGGAGCGATTTCCGTTTATTTATCTTCCCAAAAAGTGGCCTAGTCTTTTTGTTTCTTAATATTTTATATGTCATTTTGTAGCTCTTGAAATTCTCTATCGAATGGTATATAATAGTGGGAGTTTCGTATAGCTATGATAGGAAAAGTCTTTTACGAAGCTGGGGATAGGTCGATTTTCCCATAGGAAGCCATTGGGAAAATGAGTATTTTTGCAATAACTCACGAACGATTCGGCTGATCCTTCTCATCTTCGAACTCGACCAAGATATTGTTGAGACTAAACTGTATAGAAAATTTCATCGCGATCAAACTCTCCTTGCAAAAATTGTCGTGTAAACGGACGGACGGACTGTCGGACACACTAACCGATTCTAGGGTGTACTCACTTTTTGAGTATACAAAAAAAAAAGATAGATTGGTACTTTTTAATATTAATATTTTATCAGAAATGTTTGTCGACGAAATAATTGGTCGACAAAATAATTTCGACGAAATATATATCGACAAAATATTGTCGACCTAAATGCTTGTCGACAAAACTTTGTCGACCAAAATGCTTATCGACAAAACTATGTCGACAAAACTTTGTCGACCAAAATGCTTGTCGACAAAACTTTGTCGACGAATGATATAATTACCTACGAAATTATGCTTCCAACAAACGCAATTAAATCATATATCGATTTCGAATATTACATAGATAATAATCGGAATATACAAAACCAATAACTGAAGTGACTTGTTGTCTCAAAATACTTTATTATATATTAAATATTTTCGATTATATCTATTCTGAAAATAACAACTATATTGACATTGCTCTACAACAATGTCTTGTTTTGGAAGCGTAAGTTTGAACAATCTGATACAAACATTATGACACTCCGTTAATTTTATTCTCTTCCACACACACTACCAACAAAAAGCACCCAATAACACATAAATTGAGACGAAGATAGACATTCTAGAAATTTTTTGATCGGGAATGAGTATTTTAGTATCTCTCTACTCAAATAAACTTCAGTTGAGTATGCTTACTACCTGTAAGACTTTTTAAAGCAAACACATTTTCATCCATGAGATTAGCAAACTCTAGAAATCTCAGTTAAAATTAATACATTTTTTTTCTTCTTTAATCGTAGATCAACTTGACAAAAAATATTGTATCATTTGATTCATGCTAATCCTACTGTATTGTTTGACAATAATATTATCTTAGGTATTTTTATAAAAAATTTTATACATTTTCTTTTATTAACAGTCATTCAACACAAGTGCCCATTTTTCAATATAAATTTTAATTTAAAAAAATATACCATACCTGACTTAATTACATTTTTATCACCATATACTACTGTGTTACGGGTGCAATGCAACAAATGTTATTCATATACTTCTCACATTAATATCGCTGAAATTGCCCATCTACTTGTACTGAATAAACAGAATCAATGAAGTATGGCCATTGATTTAAATGTTTATTCGCGAAATCAACCATTTCGATTATTTGACTATACTAAACGATGCCAAAATAATTTTCTTCTTCATTCTACTAATTTTCAATGTAATAATCACTCCGACATTTCATATTTTGAGATATCAAAAAAATCAATTATCACCTATAATAGCAAATTCTCTAGTTTATCAATACTCGATCTTGATAATAATCAATTTAAACTAAAATTAAATGATTCAAATAATTCACTTTCGATATCTGAATCTACTTTAATAATTTTGAATAATATTAACAACCATTTAAATTCTTATTTTTCTATTAAAACAAGCTCATTACCAGCTTCTTCGATATTGAAGAAATTGAAAGTTCTAGAATCTAATGGAAACACCCATACAAACATCTCTCAACAAGAGATGCAAAAATTTAAACCATTTGTCGAAAAAATAACAGGATCTGACCCAAATCATCTAGGTTACATTCATTCGTGTGTCCGAGGTAATTACAACAACGACTTAGTATTTTTCAATATCGGTGGTAACTATCGATGCTGTCCACGAAAAGGCGATCATCATCAAAATAATTCAAGTGCAATTTTAATTGACACAAAAAAACTCACATATTGCATTCGCTGTAAAGATTCTCAACATAACAATATAGTATTAATTCGGAATTCACTTCAATAAATCTATATCTCTGATTTATTGCAAAAAAAAACACAAATTTCGCATATCGATTCAGTTTCATAGTAATAATACATTAGAATTTTTTCCCTCTGTCAAAATTAAAAAATGATACCCCACATAACATAATTCTAAAAAAAGAACTAATCAACATGTAAGTCCAGAAGTACCTAATATTAGCGAGACATTCATAATGAATGATTCCAGATCGTTTTAATAATTATCAATATATTTTAAATATTCTTGAACATTTGAGTCTAATACAGATTAGATAGGCATACTATTACACATCAAATCCCTATTTTTCTATTATATTTATGCATCTTACAAAGCATACTTCACTTTTAGAGAACAAACAACATATAATAATCGCCAACACGAATATAAAAAATACAAATATTTATCGATTACCCCAAAATATCTTCAAACGATACCGAAGACTCAATAACTACTGATCTACCAATCTGTTAATGCATTTCATCTATTTTCATAAACTCATTTTTCTCCTCGAAAGAATCAATCCGATGAAATGAATAGCCAATGACTATTTAAATTCCTAATGAAAATCCCTAATTCATACGCTAAAAATTAAATAGGTATCCAAACAAAAAATAGTAAGAACTAATCAACGACTGAAAATAATTCATAAATAGCTACTAACAATATCACTAGCTCCTACTCGAAAAAAAAATCCCTATATTGAATGAATAGCTGATACGCATTTAAATAACTACAAATATAATTGAATAGCTTTGAAGATCTTCATATAGCTTCTGTTATAATAAATAGCTATGCAAACGAATAAATAGTTATGGAAAGGAATAAATAGCTTTCACAAGTTTAAATAGCTATCTCTTCAAATAGATAAAGGGTGGGGCATAATGAATGGCCGCTTTTCACATTACACATTTTCATCAATTAATACGCATTATTAAAAAAAAAACTACACCAAAAGATGCAGCGTGAAAAGCTCTACAATTTACATAAGACCGTTTTTTTTTCTAGTTGCACTTTTTGCTTTCAAAACAGACGAAATTTTGAGCAATCAAACTTTGACCATGCGAAAACAATCTTTTTTTTGTACAAGATGAAGTTCTTTTTTTTCTCATTTCATTTTTTTCTCATTTGATATCTTTTACTTAAAAAAAAAACAAGATATACCAAAAGATGCAGCGTGAAAAGCTCTACAGTTTACATAGTAAAGCTTATTGTAATTGCTTTCAAAAAAAGTAGAATTCTCGGCGATAAATTTTCGCACGGTTGAAATTCGATCGCTCAAAATTTTAACCACCTTGAAAGCAATAAGTGCAACTACAAAAAAAACCGGTCTGATATAAATTTTAGAGCTTTTCACGCTGCACCTTTTGGTGTATTTTATTTTTTTTTAATAATGTGTATTAATTGATGAAAATATGTAATGCGAAAAGCGGCCATTCATTATGCCCCACCCGTTCGCTATACATAAGAAAGAATAGCTATGTATAGAATAAAATAGCTCTAAAAGAACTAAATAGCTAAAGATATTTCTACTCTTTGCCAATATTTATATATAAAACACATTGTATCTCTTTTGAGAATGAGCCCAGGGGGTAAATATGGGCAATTTCACGAAAAACGGGACATACCCTGCTTTCATTTGATTTTAATTTTGTACAAGAGTGATTTTTCTGAATAAGTTCTTTTAGCATAGACATATGTAAAAATATCTGCTCTTTCAGATCCTACTTAATTAAAATTAATTAGTTAGTTAATTACGTAGTTATTAATGAATATCTCTCTAACGGCATGAGAAAAAAATTCAAAAATTTCAGGATAGACTCTAGGACAAAATTACATCCATGGTGAAATTTTCAACAAGATCGGACTCAAAAAATTTACTTCGTAAAAACTGATTTTCTATGAGGCACTACACGTAAGCCACGACCAACGTTGCTCAATCGATGCCACCGATCTGGCTGGTATTTTTACAGTAGGTAAGCCCAACAGAACTAGAAACAAACTGAAAATTTCAGCTCAAACGTATGAGCAATTTTGGAGATATAGACGATACAAGTGTGAGGGGTAGGTCTCATCTGGAGTGCTTTATAGTGCAACACTTTCCAGTAAATCTCCATTTTCTCGAGAACAACAAGAGATATAACCGAGATATTTTTACCATAAATACTATCGAAGATGGGCTATATTTTTATGGCAAAAAAAGTATCTCATCCCTGAATGATTTTTGCCTGGCATGGCATTATATACCATTTTCAGAAAACATTCTCACGTATATATGGCAAGTTGGTTGAATCAGCGCGCTAGAATTAATCGAGAGTAGTCTCATCTGAAAGAGCATATGAAAATGCATCGACTGACGTTTTCAAAAGTTTGTAGAATTGAACTTTGGTAGCAAAAACTTTTTGAACAAGCCTGGAAGGACAGAATTTGGGGCCCGATTCTCACTATGCAGATTGACGATTTATTTTCAAATGTTTGATTTAAGCATTTCAGATGAAAGCCCATGTCGAGAAACCGCTAAATTAAAAATTTCAGCTCATTTGAATTTATCTGTGAAAAATGTTCAAACATTTATTTTTGTGAAATATCGTAGGATACCATGTATAGTCCATCTAATTTTTTCTCATATTCATATTCCAGTTAAAGTGCAACCAAGAGATCTGAAATTTTTACCATAAGTAAGACTCATGAAGCCCTTTCTATGTGTGAAGTTTCAGGTCAAAATTCGAACTTTGATTTGTTTCCGAATTATCATCTATGGGAAATTGCCGTCATCCCCCTCATGACCATGAAGAAAACTGAAAATTCGAATTTTGACCTGAAATTTTGTGAATATTAAGGACTTGATAAGAATAGTTTATAGTGAAAATTTCAGATCTTTTGGTTGCACTTTAACTGGAATATGAATCTGAGAAAAATTGGACGGACTATATATTATTACTCTATAAAATTTTAAAAAGTAACTCCTTCACCATTTTTCACAGACATCCTCAAATGAACTGAAATTTTGGATTTAGAGATTTCTCGACATGGCCTTTCATTTGAAACACTTAAATTGAATATTTGAAAATAAATCATCAATCTTCATAGGGAGAGTCGGGGCCCAAATTTGGCCCTTCCAGTCTTGTTCAAAAAATTTTTGCTACCAAAGTTCAATTCTACAAACTTTTGAAAACGTCACTCGATGCATTGTGATGTGCTCTTTCAGATGAGACTACTCTCGATTAGTTCTAGCGCGCTGATTCAACCAACTTGCCGTATCTACGTGAGAATGTTTTCTGAAAATGGTATATAATGCCAGGCAAAAATCATTCAGGGATGAGATACTTGTATTACCATAAAAATATAGTCCATCTTCGATAGTATTTATGGTAAAAATATCTCGGTTATATCTCTTGTTGTTCTCGAGAAAATGGAGATTTACTGGAAAGTGTTGCACTATAAAGCACTCCAGATGAGACCTACCCCTCACACTTGTATCGTCTATATCTCCAAAATTGCTCATACGTTTGAGCTGAAATTTTCAGTTTGTTTCTAGTTCTGTTAGGTGTACCTACTGTAAAAATATCAGCCAAATCGGTGACATCGATTGAGCAATAGGCTGCTGGGATTGGTCGCTGCTTACATGCAATGCCTTCTAGAGGTCCTATCAAGTCCTGAAACAAAAATTTTTATTTCACGATAATGTGAAGAAGAAGTTATACCCTTTGGGATTGTTTTATGAACTTTTCATTCAGTTTTAAGAGAAATTTTTTCGTTTGCATATTTACACTTCGTCACGTCCCTATCGAAAAGTAAATAGAAGTTTTTGAAAAACCTAGGCATGCTCGGAAAAATCTTTGGATAATGATTTTGTAGCTTTAGAAGTTGTCTACAGAATGTACTATTTAGGTTTCAAAAATGTTGAATCAATTTAAAGCTTTTTTTAAGCCACACCACACGAAG